CCCCCCCCCGGCAGAGATATACGAAATGGGGACGAGATGATTTTTAATGACTCAGCGCGTTCGAACGTGCAATTTTTTTTTGTTATCGTGACGTTCATTTTCTATATCAGCAAATGGAGCCATACAGGAGTCGGGCCACCCTGAAAAGAGGACAAATCAACAGTAAATTACCATTTAAAAATGCAAATACATATTTTTAAAAACTCTCCTCATTATTTATAGAACAAGCTGTATTTTTTTTTTATATATGAGATGAAAGTACAGTAGGCCAAAACCACTGTATTTGTTTTTGTGAGGCAGATTGTGGCTCATTGCCCAAGTTTTTTTTTTTTTTTCCTTCAGAGTAACTAAATAATTGGATGTTTTTTAACCACAAAGATTAGTCCTCTTATTGTGGCTATGTCCTTCGCGTGACAGCAGTCATACGGTATTCTTTTGTAAAGTGGCCTCTGGCAGTGTGAAATGAGCAGCAAGGGATTTCTGGCAAGCACCAGCTTTGTTCTACAGGTGACAACCGTCTTCAATAAGATTCATAAATCTTGCTGTGTCTTTGTCCTACAGGTGACAACAATCGCTGCCTATTCTCCTGCAAAGATGCTTCCAGCAAGATGACGAGAGGCCGACGCCGGTGTCAAAGGAGCAAGCAGCGGTTTCCAGTCCATGCAAGTCGATTACAGGGTGACTACAATCTTTTGCATTCTTCATACGTCTTGTTTATGCGGTAAGACATTAAGATTAAAGTCGTTATGGTACGTGTCTCCCAAAAGGTTTTCACGGTCTGAAAAGCAAAGTTTGGCATCTTTTAGACTGAATTCCAAATGTTCTGGTTTGTATAAACAAACGCAGACCCCCAAAGCAACAAACAGGAGCAATTTAACATAGCTTTTTATTCAACAATCGAAGCAACACTCGTTAGTGGACATAAACAATCATAACTAAAATATATGCCGAAAAAAAAGGTAGGCACAGAACTCGGCGTACAAACTAGGGGAGACTGCAAAGGTAAGGCACAATTGAAAGAGGACAACAAGGTGCGAAGAAAAAAAAACTTAGCAGAAATAATCTGCTCTGTCACCACTGCAGAAGTCAGGAGATGCGTTTTTATTTGATGATAAAGCTCTAATGGTGTGTTGTTTTTGACGGGTATGCTGCCCTCCCGTTGGTTTCGCCACTTGGATGCATCGGTGGAAATGAATGGCCGCTGTTTTGCTATCACCCATGTCTCTAGAACTATTTTCACAAATGGAGTCACCACACTTTAAAAAGTCACGCTTTTCTGCTGCCGTATTGGACCACAAACAAGCCAGACCAGGCAGGCGTAAATATGTGCTTGGCCTATAGAGAAAATGAAAGCATGAATCCAGATTGTGCAAAGTAATTTGTCCCAATGAGGGAGTCGCCCGTGCTCAGGTAGCGGGGCCGATTTTCATTTGGATCATTCTCCCATGCTAATTATCCCAATGACTTCTGTGCCCTAGAGTAGTGCTAGCAATAATACATGAGCACCTATCTGATGGTTTTAAGCTCCCCACCTCCCCCCCTTCCTCCTTTTTTTCCCCATTTCCAAGGCCATTTTGAGAGCTAATTAATGCACATGAACTGTTTGCTTTACACCGAGCTGAGAAATGTGCTTTAATGGTCTCCTCGGGGCAGCAGAGTCGGCACCGGCTTCACAATAACTGTAATTATAAAATAAAGTGAAGGTCAGCAGGAGGGAGAGTCCAACTGCTAGTCAATGTGTCCGTGATGGAAATTGAGAAACAACACTCACACACAGCCAGTTTATTGCTCCGAAGCAATCGATATTCCTAATTAATGGTTAATAAATGCCTTTTTTTTTTGTCTTTTAAAAGCATACTATTATTGATTTTATTTTCATCAACACCTGCCATGACTGGGCAGTGGTTTTGATGTTGACAGTCATTAAAAAGCGATTGACTTCAAAAGGCCGCAAAGCGCCGCGGGCTCTCGCGCACTCTCGAAATGAGAGTGATTAATACTCCGCAAGCTTTTTGACGACGGCACGGCAAAAGAGGAGAGAATGACACGCAAATGGCTTTTGCTGGGATCAGTCTCGAAACTCCATGCATCATCATTCCAAAATACAATGATCCATCTGACAACCTATTAGACGCTTGAGTCGGTAATTCGGACCAACTCAGCAAGGCTACGACTTTCTGACAAAAGCAGTTTACAAACTAAGGAGAGTTGAGTCGGTAATTCGGACCAACTCAGCAAGACTTGGTCAGACTTTCTGACAAAAGCAGTTTACAAACTAAGGAGAAACTAGTTTTGTACTTTGAAGAACTGATGATGGACGTCCCAATGTTGTCGGAGTGTCTCCCAAAACTGACGAAAGGCCACACTGGAAGAAAACTGCTCAGAACGCGGGTGGGAAGAGGCCAACGGCAACATGAGAGGAGGAGCAGGAATTTCTAGCAAGTACGAGCTGGGTCCTACAAGTCGCAACACTTGACCTTTGCCTGAATTTTGGCTCGTGCGCCCGAAACTGATGAAACTCCTCCAAAATTATGAGGTGGGCAGTGAGGAGGCCTCGAGCAACATTAAAAGCGCTGCAGCGATTTCTAGCAAGTACTGGCTGAATTCGACCGGTGACAGCATCGTCTTATCGTCTGAATTTTGACTAGTCCCTCAAAAACTGACCAAAAGATCAGAAGCTGCTGTTCCTTGCATCTGCAGCAGGTTTGTCCGACGGCGTCCCTTTGATCCTTCCTTGCTCTGGCACCTTTCATTTGGGCCCTCCCGCTGCGCGTGGTGGCGTCCCATCGAGAGGCCGACGCAGTGGATGCCAGCCTCACTGGGTGGGCAGCACAGGTTGGCTCAGGGGCAGTAGTCTGTGCCGAATAGGACCGACCACATCCATTTTTAGGAAGTGTGGGCAGCGCATCAGGCTCTGATCCATTTGAGTGGGTTTCTCAGTGAGGTTTCTTTTCTGAGATTCCAATTGACTCCGCTGGCAGTAGCCATTCTATGCTTTCAGCACTGCCCCTGACGGTCTGGAGGGTTGTCATACAGAACGACAATTTGCTCAGTTTGAGGGTGTTTTTGTTTCCTCCCCCTCGTTGATATTTTTCTTTTCCTCTGAGAAAATGGGGCACCGTAAAAGGTGACCCACTGAACTCCTGTTCAGTATCCCGTGTCTCTTGGAACGGTTGTGTCTGTTCCACAACTTGTGATGCAATGTTTTTTGAGACAGCAGTTTAAGGATGTAATTTTAAACCCTCACCCTGGACTGAAACCATCATTTCAAATCCTAATCCTTGTTAAAAACCAAAATAGAAACCTTCATTTTTGCGTAAAATTTTAACAGTGGCTGGAAACCTTCTTTGAATCCCCAACCTTGGTTTCGAACGAACAGGCACATTTGCCGGAATACAACGTGAACTATTCAGGTAAGTCCTCGCTGACAGGAGAAGATGAATTGACAGACAGTGTCAATCAAAAGTGAGCACGCTGATCTCTTGACTGCAGCTCTCGCACTGCAGTAGTGGAGTCGCTATTGTTGTGTAGCAGCGATACACGTTTGAGAAGAAGATTGAGGTAGCAGGGACAGGGAAAGAGTCGGATAGGAATGATTTCTTCATCCTTGCCTCGCCGCCGGTGTGACGCACGGTCGGCTTTTCCGTCGTCGCACCTGTCTATTAGTCACTCAGGATTACGCTTCCTGTCAGAAGTGGAATAAATACAGCTGGGGGAAGCGATACGGGAGCGAGAGGAACATGCAGCGGCGGCAGTCCCCCCCCCACCCCCCACCCCCCACTCCCCTCTTCATTTATTCATCTCGATCATCGGGAAGGCGACAAGAACGGGGGTACACCATCACAAAGTTTATTAAAGCACCGGCCCCGAGGCACAGAGCAAACAAGAGGGCTTAAAAAATGAATGGCGACAAAGAACATGACAAAATCAATGTGAGCACCGTATGGAATGTTTCGCCCCAGCCTCCGAACCCCCCCCCCCCCCCCCCCCCCCCCACACACACACACACACACACACATACACACACAGTCTGGGCACACAGATCGCCAGTCATTCAATTGAAAAAAATCCAAAATTCCTGCAGTTCTTTACTGCTGCCCAAAGCCCTATCGCAGGAGAAGGAGTCATGAGCCAAAACTGACTAAGGTCGATTGTTGTGCCATGTAGGATGTAGCCATTACATGCCAGAATACCTTCCAATTGCTTTCATGTTGCCGTTTGCCTTTTTCCTCCTGATCTTCTGCGCCCGGGAACTTCGGTGGTGGCAAAGGTTCTAGTAAGGCAGGGGTGTCAAACTCATTTTTGTCACGGGCCTGATTTGAGTTAGTTTCCCTTGGAGGGCCGTTATGACTGAAACCATTTGAAGAAGTCAAGAATAACGATTTATTCACCCATTGTTTAAACTATTGTAACGAGGGGTTTGGTAACAAGAAACTGCTGACAGTATCACTCGTATTTATTACAAATGAGAATGTGAAATTATGGTTGAGATTTTAGCAAGCATCGTTAAAGTTGACATCTTTGATTTGCTTTCGCGGGCCACATAAAATGATGTGGCAGGCCAGATCTGGCCCCCCGGGCCTTGAATTTGACACCTATGGAGTAAGGCTTGAAAATGTCTCCTTCCTGCCGGCCCCGACTGCTGCTGAACTGAAAAGTTCCCCCCCGGAAACCACAGGGACCCAACGGAGAGCTTTGAGTGAGGGTTAACCAAGGTTACTGTGCCAACTAAACCAGGAAAGACACACAATGCCTGCGCTCCTTGCACGAGATGGCAAACGCTTGCAGAGCCGCGTCAACGAAGGACACGTCAGCCTATTTTTCAGTTTCGGAATTCTCCGAGCAGCGCCTGCTGGCTTCTCCTCGCCATGAAAAATCAATCATGCACTCTCATTATCGACCCTGTTGGTCAACCGGATAGACAAAGGCTGTGCTACATGACGCCCGCCTTGCATGTGTACTGCTCATTTGAAGCGACACCTCCGAGTGGGGGAATTTTCTCCGCAGCGGACGTTTTGACTTGTTTTGGCAGCAAACAGGAAAATATATTTTGAGCTGACGTGTGGATCAAAATGCGATGAGTCAAAATATAGTTTGTCAAGTCAAAACATCCCGACGAACAGGCTGCAAGTTACGGTTTGAGTTTCATGCAATTGTTTGGGTTTCTGACCATCATCATCATCATCATCATCGAAATACATTCATATTTTGGTATCTGTGTTTTAGAGCTTCTGTCAGCTTTTTTTTTTTTTTTTTGGCCATTGCCTCTCCTTCTTCTTGTGGTAGTTGTCGCATAAATGTCAGGCTCATTAATAACTTGACAAACTTGTAAATGTGCGGTCCAACTTTTCCACAGGCTACTGTTTAATTAAACCGCTGAGCAGATGGCTCCTTTTGGAAAGCGTCTCCAATGGCGGCATATGTATGAGGAGTCATTAAACTTGACTCTGGTCGAACCCAGAGAGTCGCACCTCCTCTTCCTCCTCATCCTCCCGATCAGACCGATCATTTCCACCGCGGCCAGTAAACGCAGCGACGCGTTTGCACGTGGATTCGTTCCAGTAAGTGAAAGGGAGGAGAGGGAAGAACAGGATCAATTTGTGTGAGTTAGTGTGCATTCCGGCTGATGGAAGCGCTGTTGGCTTCCTCACAGTCATGTCGGGATTTCGACAAGTGTTCCCATCAGTGGTGGACTGACTGCAGTCGCAAGTTGATATCCAGTGATGTGCCCGACAAACGCACGTTTGTTTGTTTTATTTGTTTCGTACGTTAACAGCGAGCAATCTTCATGCTGTTTATTTCTGCGGTTTGTAAGAATTTTCTGAGCGTGTCAGAATAACGGCGTGCCTTTACCGTGATTACGAATGTATGGAAACAAGAGTGTAATCGGTTTAATGTTTCGTCAGGATCATTTAGGCAGTTGTATATGCTTAATTTGAAGGAAATGAAGCTGTTTGCCTTCAGTCTAATGTGTGGTGAAAGCAAGTTGACCGCCTTGAATGACGCGCTTGCCATTAGCTGATGAATACACGATGTCAAAATTGACTCACGGTTCCTGTCCCTTGTTATTTGCAGATGTGTTTCAAATCAAAACGCTCTGGATATTGTTCGGGGAGGGAGGGAGGGCGGGCAACCGTGAGGATGTCGGTCGTGTCTAAAGGTGATTCATTCACAGCAAGTGTGATATTGAGGTGGCGCGTTGTCGTTGTGTTTCAATGTCCGCCTGACCACCGCAGACTGAAGGATGGTCATGCGACTTCCTGCCCTTGAGTTTCTACCTATTAAGATGAAATAGAAACTTTCACCAGCTTTCGAATGCAGTAATGATGAACCACATGCTGCGACAGCATATTCACATTGTTTTGGGGGGTGGGGGGGGTCTGCATATTATCCCGTCTGCCTCAATTTTCCAGTTTCCTCTGAGCACTACTTGGCAGCTGCAGTGTTTGTCTTTTGAGCCAGCAAACCCAAAGTGGCTTTGTTTGATCGCCATAAAAACGGAAGACAAAATGCGTCTCCTAAAAAAAAAAAAAAAAAAACATCCAATAGTGATTCGATGGCTCTCAAAATTCTCAACACTTTTGATCTCTCTTCCTGTCCCACAGCGGCACCTCCGTCGCGTTTCGCTTAAGCTCACCAGGCCGAGCGGGAAGAGTGTGTAGGCCTTCATCTCGACGGGATCGCGTCACTGTAATTGCTGCGTATGTAAGCGTGCCAGTCTGCCTTCATCCCCACAAAGTCCCTCATTAGGAGCGGTCCGGACGGCGGGGCGACGAAATGGCGGCCAAGGCCTCATCCTGCTTTAATTGACACGTGGCGGAAGCAACGCTCGCTCCCTCGGATTCCACCTGAGCTTCGCGATGGAGCGCCGTTTTAATCACCTTGTCAGTTTCCGACATTATTAGCTATAGCCAGCTTCTGGAAATATCCGCTGTAATCTGCAGAGGCAGGAACGGTGATGCCCGACTAAAAACCATCTCACAACTTCATTGAATATTCTTGGAAGCTGAATTGTCAAAGTCAAGGAAAGTTTGGTAAAGTGCAGGATCGTACTAATACCTACCGATGACAACCAAGTCAATCTTTAGCTATCTCTGAAAACGTGCAGGACGTTCTTGTCGGTCACCTAAAAACGGGGCAAATGAACATAACACGTTTCTTAGCTAATAATTTGGCTTTCAGGCTGGCCAACGTTCCAGCGCGGAAGAAGCGGAACAAGATTAGCTTTTGAAATGCGGCACTTACATGGCTTGATGACTTTGCGAGGTTGTAGGCGGGGTTTGTGTTTATCAATGAGTCCATGCGGCATGGAAATGCTTTCCTTGTCTTGGGTGCTTGTTGTCATTTTAATGAAGCAAAGTTCGCTAGTAGCCCACCAGGATGTGAGGTTGACGGCGGCTGCTGTTTTTGTCATTTGTGTAATTTCTCTCTCCGGTGTTCAGGCAAGAGTTGCATTTGACATACGAGGTAATTCCTCGTCAAAGAGGATTTTCATGACATGCCAACATCTTGTCACTCACTCCGCCGGAATACTCTTGCTAAACTCTGAGAGAGAATTTATACAGGATTCACGATATGATGACGAGCTGAGTCAGTCACCACAAGCGAATGAGTTATTTCGAATGGTTTTAAATATCAGTCGAAGCAAGAATACGAGTGATTCCAAATCATATCGAACACAATTCGGAGCAAGAAATCTAGCGATTATGAATGACATTCAATCCCAGTCGTGGCAAGGGCTCGACTGATCAGCCAAGTGCAGTGGGGTGGGGGTATGAGTGCAAGAAAAAGAGGATTTGTCATTTCAGCCTGAAACAAGTACAGTAGTGCAATGAGTTCGACTGGATATTATATTTCTGGAAGATGTTTCAAACTCGTTCCATGCGTAACAGTTTTTGGAATCTGTGTGATTGTTCGTAAAACCTCACTCCTCCGAACTTTCAGAGGGGGCTCCGTCCTCCTCCAAAATTCACTGCAACGCCCCTGCTCCTGATTATGAAAAATGTACAGTTAGCATTTGTTCCTTGTCAGCACTTGTGATAAAAACGGATGACGTTCCAAAGGCCAAGGAGCGGACGAGGAACGCGATTGATTTTTGAATGACTATTTTAACCGGTGTCTAAAAAAAAAACAAAAAAAAAAAAAACGTGGACTTTTCCACATCCCTTCAAGTCTTTTATAAAGGGGCTTGACAGCTCCACTCTGCATATTTATTCAGCTTTTTCCATTTATTTATTTCTTCTATTTGGCTATTGCGGCCATCTGTCTCTCGCATGCTGTTTCCTCTCGCTGCTTTTGAATCCACCAGTTTTTAACGGCACACCGCCATCTGCCAAAAGTCATGTTTTGAAAGTGACTGCATACAATGCACAGTGTCGTTTGACGAGAGCAGTCATGCATATAAATTTATCGAGATTATTGCCAGGGATGGGCAATGTATCGATGTTATCAATTCATTCAAGTTCATTTGTTATTTTAATCTTAAATTGTTCATAGCAACATCCCCGCTGGCCTCGAATGGTGCTGCTGACCTCTTGACCAAATACATTTCAAAAAGGCCATTTTAATTCCTGCTCAGAAACAAACGACATGAGCGCAATCGTTATCAAGAAATAAGCTCTGGGGAAAGGCAATCATGGGATCAATTGCGCTGAACGTTTGCAGTGACATGGTGCTTATTTGTATGTCGCAAAGCAGTGATTTATCAATTTGTCACAAACTTGTGCTTCCCCAGATGCAAATATTTTGCGGTTTAGAAGCGCGCACCGTCGTTTCCTGTACAACTCCATGTGATAAAAGATCAGGAGATAGTTGAAGGGCGATTTTACGTTCATGCAAAAGGTTTCAGGTTCATTGTGGAACTTCGAAATGATTGGGTTGGTGAATGATAATTTGCTCCATTATAGCATGGACGTATGTGAGAGAAACGCTCCATATTTACCTGCGCGTTTCATTTCACCCTGAATGGATTGGCAGAAACTCCAGAGAGCAATTTCTAGACAAACATTGAAAAATCCCTTTTCCATCATATCTCCGCATCGGGGATTCCAGTTGAATGCGTTTCCACTCTCGGCCTCTAAGTGTCAGCATGCCCCGCATTGCTGCGCACTCTGTGTGTCGTGTGTGCGCTCATAAAGAAGCCAAGCTCGCACTCCGTGGACGCACACGCGCGGCGCCGTGCAGCCACACAGCCAGCCGGGCTCTCCTCCTTCTCTTCCTCTCCTGGCACGCTCCGAGAGGACTCTTGTGACCTCCTCCTCCTCCTCCTCCCTCTTCTCCCTCCTCTTCTCCCTCCGAACTTAACTCTCCGCTTCCATCAAAGAGCTGTTGCCGAGTGTGACAACGCGCCGTGGGTGAGCTTTGAAGTTTTTAGTCCGGGGGATGCGCGCGGCTTTCCAGCCGACTCCCGAGGCTTTGTCTGCGGGCTACCGCTCCCGGTAGTAACCCCTTTGGAGGACGGTCCAAGTTAGGAGCGGCGCGCACAGGTGTTCCTCGATTGAAATGGACCTCACGCGGACTCAAACCGGAATCGTCTATTAATTAGAAACCTCTTTTGGGAGCCACACGCGCCGCAACAACCCAGTTCGCAGACATCGTCGGACCGCTCAGCGAGCGCTCATCAACAGCGCGGTTTCCAGCGCATCCGGCACCATCAGCATCCAGCGGGGACTCCGCGCAACGCTCACTCGACACCTGTACTCTGCGTGGCTATCTTTTGGGACCATGTTGCCTGGCTCCTGGAGCTCTTCGCTGTGGCACGCCACGTGGATTTTATCTCTCCTCGTCGTCACCCACTCGGCGCTTGGGCAAGGTAAGCAGCAGGAGGGCAAACGTACATTGTGAAAGCACGGAAAGCTTTGGAGCGTATGTTTAAATCGTCTCCCCATATTTCCCAGGAGTCCAGTTTTGAATTGGCCCGAATAAAAGCTGTAAAATCGACGTGCTCTATGTAGTTTCTATCAAGGACACAAACCTCTGCCGTTACACAATGGTAGTTGTCAACCATCATCTGATTGACAGGTGCGCTTCACATAGTTTGACCTTGAAATGTGAAAACATCTCGGATCTTTATATTTGCTGTCGATATCATATTTGTTTTACGATCTCTTGTTTTGTTTGTGGGAGCGCCAAAAACTTTTGAACCGATTTCCCCAAAGGATTAGTCCAGGGTGCGTTGTTGGGTGACGTTTTGACGGCGATCCACCTCTGTCACTGTTGCAAAAAAAAAAAAATCTGTTTTTCGACTCTTTGATTGGAGTTGGCATCGACATTAGGTTTGATGATGTTCAATTTGGTGTTAGAACCGAATGGCGCTTGTTGGCAGTTTTCAATTTGATGCTGATCCGAAGTTGGTGGTCGGAGTCCTCTCAGATCCAAGTACAAAATAGATGATAATGAAAATCATACAACAAATAACTCCCTGAAACTACCCATAGATGATGCATCTCTAGTAGTCCTGAGAACAATTCTGCATGTCACGACGTTTCCATCAGTTTGTTAGTTCATTGGCAAATGCCTGGTCTGATCACTCTGCGTTCTTCAGACCAGGATCGTCCGCAATTTCAGAAAAGGGCCTTGACTCATCCTCGGACATTCCGTCTGGGATTCAAAGCCGCATACGATGGAGTATTACCTCTCGAAATAGACTCCGAGCCCTCAGTGGCGCTCACTCAATAGCAGTATGTTGAAATGATGGTCAAAACAAACAAGGCGATATCCATCATTCATGAGGGCACATCCGAGTGGCTGACTTTTACAGGAGCCCCGGTAATTGCGTCTGCTTAAGAGTCATGACATTGCCTTGATTCCTTACCTTCCCGCTCTGTCGCTCTTTTAACCAAGCCCCCGGGAGCTGTTTTATTTTGGCGCAGATCTGCCTAGTAGTTGAATGTGACCCTGTGTGGGAGAGAATGCTCGGCTCAATTTTTTTTTTTTTTTAAACGACCAGCTTAGCAAAACGGCTTTTTAACGATGGGAGAATGGCCTTCGAGGGCCATCAACTTTCGCCCAGCGCGGACGGATGGCTTCGTCCAGCGTTGCTTTGTTTTTTTTTTTTTTTTTCTTCTTCAAACCATGTAAATACGACAATAACCTGACATTTGTTCAACTTCTGAACTTGCGGCATTTTTTTATTTATTCAGTTTGTTATTTATGGTATATCACCCAACTTTACCACCATGCTATGCCCTCACGTGATTGCAACATTTTTCGCAATTCGGCGTCCAGCCATCATTCCATTTATTATTTTTTTTTTTGGTAATGTTCTCATGAGAGACAGACCTACCAAATTTCCTGTTGCTATTTGAAACCAGCTTCAGAAGGCCGACTTTTTAAAGAAATCAAGAGGGAGTTACAGAGTCTCCCACTACTTTAGTTGAATTCAGAATCAGGGTTTTTGACTCTGACTTGGGTTCTATTTATTTATATTTTTTGGTAATGTTCTCATGAGAGACAGGCCTACCAAATTTCCTGTTGCTATGTGAAACCAGCTTCAGAAGGCTGACTTTTTCAAGAAATCAAGAGGGAGTTAGAGTCTCCACTACTTTAATTGAATTCAGAATCAGGGTTTTTGACTCTGACTTGGTCTGAAACATTTGAAGCAGTCGTCAGGTCTCGTTGGCTATCTTTCAGTTTGTCACCATTGGTGCGGTGATCCCTGTCAGGTTTATTTCGGGACTTTTAATCTTGTTTGACATACATACCTATGCATCAGTGCCAGTAGATAAGTCCTCCAGGCTCCAGGCCACTTTGGGAAAAGTACTCAGGCCTTGACTGAAACCCTTACGTGGGCTTTAAACCCTAGCTCTGATTCAAACATAAAACCCTAACCCACTCTTCAAATCCCAACCTTAAAACCTAGACCCGAACTTTAAATCATATCTTCATCATAATCAAAAAAAGACGTTTTTTTTGCGACGCAAATAACTGTGACCTGAGGATGATGGCGCAATTGAAGTTAGTCTTCGTGAGCTTTTAAAATTAACGTCACTGAGTTCTTCCATCATTTGTGAGCGTGATATAAATGTCTTCTTTTTGTCCGAGAATAAAAGTGACGAGCGCAAGCATGAAAAGAAAGGCATCTCAAGACTGGCGTGCAACTGATCAGACGTTGCCGGCAGATGAGACGTCTTCAATTTGTTATTCCTTGTAATTGACAGCGGGATGATGTCTGCTTTGTCGAAGCACCTGTGTCCTGTTTGGTGGGGCGAAAAAAAAAAAAAATCTTGCTGCCAGCACTTTTCACGCTTCAGGTGGGAGTCCAGTGGTGGATTCCTCTTGGGAATGAGTTTTCTCTCAAATCTCAGGGAGGGGGCAAAACAAAACCTCCCACTCAAAGTTCATTACAATCCGGCAGAGGAGTGCTTGTGGAAAAGCTTGTTTTTGTTTTTTTTTTTCCCTTTGGATAGCAGCAAAGTTGTAAAGTCAGAGTACGATCATGTGACGGTGGAATTCTGACAAATGGATTTTGCTCCATCAAATGTCGATGCGGAGATCATTTTTGTCAGACGTCCAGAACGCAAATGAGAGCCGACGTGTGATTAACGACACTTAATAGGTGAGTCGCAGTGTAATTAACAGATGTTTTGTTTTGGGAAAAAAAGAACCAGTTGCCAACAATGAGGTGTGCAAAACCAACAAATGCGAATGTAAATTAAATGTATAGTCAATACACTACGCCCTATTTGATACTATATGTAATGTTCAAACTCATAAACTTTATTGTTTTTAGCAAGTAAAAGACTGAGAGGTCACCAAACACGTGCTTGGTACGTCCCACAGACGAAGTGGGCACAGGACGTCCCATGATTGTGTATAAAAGGAGCTTTGCTGAATCACTTAGCCGTCCACAAACAAAGACGGCGCGAGGTTCAAATCTTTGTGAGAACAGCGTGAGAAAATAGTCGGAACGGTTTCAAGCACAATGTTCTTCAATGTACATTTGCGAGGAATTTACGGATTTCAACATCAAAAGCTTCAGGAAGCTGGAGAAATAACTGCGTGTAAGCGGCAAGGCCAAAACCCAACATTGAGTGCCCCGTGACCTTCAACCCCTCAGGCGGCACTGCACCGCAAAAGCCCTAAAAGTTTGAATAAATAGTCCGACTTCTCGTATTTTAGCAGACCATGTTAACTTACTTGTACCCTCAGGTAGAGCGCATGTATCAGTTTGACATTCAGCTATTGCCAGCTCAGCCATTTTTCTTTTTTTTTTTTTTTGTCTGTTGGAACTGATTCAAAATCAATAGTTCTCCACTGCTTTTGCCTGTGTTTGAAAAAAAAAATGCTAATCCTTGGAGGGATGCTCAGTGGAGAATTGAGAGTGACAAACTTATATGATCGAAATCAGGCCAGAGGCGAAGAATACTGGAAGTTGTTTTTGGAATGAGCAACGAGATTATGTATGTAGAGTATATATTGTCCTGGATTGTATGTATTGTCCGATGTAAGTGGTTAGCGCATCGACCTCACAGTGCAGAGGTCGTGGGTTCGATCCTGTGTGGGGTTTGCATGTTCTTCCCATGCCTGCGTGGGTTTTCTCCGGGTATTCCAGTTTCCTCCCACATTCCAAAAAAATGCATGGTGGAACATTTCCAGGAAATTTCTTCAGAATTTTGGGAAAGATTCCTAATGTTCCTCCTTTGGAATAATGCTCCTTGAGTCAGTTATCAGTGATCACCACCGCCTTGCGCACCCATAAATAAGCAGAACGACTAGATGTGGTGGGAAACGAGTCCAGAACTGAGACCCCCAAACTCGCTTTCATAATTGAACGCAACAGTTGCCGATAAGGTCAGACAAAAAGTGGCACCACTGGCAGCAACATCTTGCTCATCGGAGGGTTCACCAAAGTGACAGTGGTGCAGAATAATCAATGTCATTTCCACCCAAACGATACACCCAGCGTCTTACTAATTTCCTCATTGCACGGCGAGCCGCTTCTCATTTGTCGGGCTGACACGCGGAGAAGTTTCCTTCCCGCTCGTCGTCTCCGTAACTCGCAGGAAATGGCCAGCCGATTGGATTGAACGATTTAGAAACTGTTCAATTTTCTCGTCATTTTAGCTGAAAATTCACCAAACTTTGTTTCAATGATTTCTTCCCAACGCAGCAACTACAGTTTTGATTTGGTAGGGTTGGAAAAAAAAAATCCTGTAGGCTCAAAGGTAGACTTTGTCGAATTGTTGTTAGTTCAACAGCAGGAACTCAATTGGTTTCATATTTTTGTGAGGTCCAAAACTAAAATCGAATTCTTCACGACTGCTCCTTTTGACGCTTATTATTGCTAAAAAACACCTTGCTCAGTAGAAATAAACACACAGGCTCAAAATATTTAATGGGGGGGGGGGGGTTTCATAGTACTTGGGTGCGCATGTGCCATAAAATTATTGCTATCAATTCTCTCGCCGGTTTTGATCGTTAACACCTTGCACAGTGGAAATATAAACATAATGACAAAACATCGTAAACACGCACATGGCATGCTGTGTCGCACACGGGCGCAACGTAGTCATAAACTGTCATTGATGGCTCAGTGACTCATTGTGCAATAGAAGTAATCCGTAGTTTAAAAAAAAAAAAAAAAAGTCCACGTAAATGCATGTCCATGGACATTTCATGATTAATACAGTCTGTCCTTTCGGATTTTCATGATACTTGACAATTGACCAAAGTCTGTGATAGTTGCTTGGCGTTAGCGTGCCGCTAGGACACGCAAGCTCTTCGTGTTTTGCACGTCCTCCAGAGTTGTGCTTTTATTTACTCGCCGCGACCTTTGAAGGATCTGACAAATGTGCAATTGTGGCTCGCGTT